GATAAGTGAGGAGCTTGGGAAGCCCAGAAAGGGGAACACACTGGGAGTGAGGGAGTGGGTGGTTAGGCCACTGGGGTAGCAACAAGTGTGGGCTGACTGACCGGCACTCCCTTCAGGTGTTGTGCCACCTGACTGGGGGTGGCCAGGAAGGATACCTGGCCAGTACAAACTGATCTCGCTGTGACCTTCCCCTGATGAGCGTTAAACCTCTGCATCTGTTAAAGTATTAGACAGCTTGGAATCACTTTTTGTTTTTGTTTTTTTGAGACAGGGTCTCACTATGTAGTTGAGACTGGCCTGGAACTCACAATGTAGCCCACACTGGTTTCAAACTCGCAGTGATCCTCCAAGACTCAGCCTCCCGAGTGCTGGGATTACAGGTGTGCGCCACCACGCCTGGCTAACTGGAATCACTTTGATTTACGATCTTTTTTCCTCCTCATTCCTTTTAGGTCTAGTATTGCTCAAAGAGTAGCTTGATTTAAGTCAATGAAAAACATGATCGCATAAAAATATTATTCAGGATACAAAGTTATCCTCACTGAAAAGGAATTGACCAGAGTATTCTTTTAAATATTGAGCTCTTGTGCAGCCTTTGAGTACAATAAACATTAAATAATGTGCGATATAGCCACTGTTCAGAAAATCACCTGCTGATATAGTTGTGATGTCAATACTTGGCTCATCCCAAAGTGAAAATGAATCTTCACATTTGTTTTGATTTTAGCACTGGCTTTAAGCATGAAAATTTGTTTTCTACTTTACTATCCATTTGTATATTCATCTATAATTATATACCTTTGTGATTCAAAGTTGAATTAAAAAACATGTTGACATCAACAAAAAACCCTAGATTTAGTAAAACCTTAAAAAGGCTCAAAAAGCCGGGCATGGTGGCACATGCCTATAATCTCAGCACTCAAGAGGCTGAGGCAGGAGGATCGCTGTGAGTTCAAGACCAGCCTGGGCTACACAGTGAGTTCCAGGTCAGTCTCAACTACATAGTGAGACCCTGTTTCAAACCCGCCCCCCATCCAAAAAAAAAAAAAAGGCTAAAAAATATAAACTCATGGTATTACACAAAAGGTTAAGTGGTGCTTTGTCAAAGCCATTCATTTGATCAAGTGAATGTAGACAGAAACCTTAGAGAATTAAAAAGAATTTAAAAATACACATGATTAAGAATCTGTTAAGACACCAACAAGGCAAGAAATTGAAAAAGTGCTAAAATAAAATTAATTATATTACTTTTTTCTTCAAATAGTAAATGGAATTAAAATTAATACATCATTCCGGTATGTTATCAAATGTTCTAGGATTTAAGTTTTCATTCCCGTATCTCAAAAGACATCTCTAGACTACTGTTTATTTTCTGTGGAAACTGACAGCATTGATATGTCTGTGGAGATAAAGGTACAAGACATGTAAAACATATCATTCAATTTATAGACGCACTAAATAGGAGCAGGGATAGGAAATGCTCAGGCAGCCATTACAGCGTACAAACACAAACACACAAGCACGTACCACACAGATTTAAAGCAAGACAAAAAATGAGTAAATCTCACTTCTAAGTGCAACTTAAAAGTTTAAAGTTTTGAGGATTTTCTGTAGCTTTCATTACTCAACATGCAGTGCAGCCTTGAATATAAATATGACAAGCAGAAGCATTAGAATTATATGAGAAGAAAGTTAAGGTATAAAAATATATGACAAAGTACAGATCTCTGCCCTGTTATGTTGAATTTTCTTCTCAAAGAAGAAATGGATTTTTTTCTAGGTTTCAACATACATATTTTAATAAAGGTCAAATTAGAGACAGAGCTGTGCTGACAAAAACGCCCCACTCTTTATACATGCCTCTGCCCGTCTTTTTGATGTTCATTGACCTTGAGCATGCAGAGAGTAGCAAGGTTCTGCTCCTACTCTACCTAAGTCTGCTCAGCTGGTCCCTTGCCCTGGACAAAGGCTGCAGTGCGATGAACTCGTCACTTAAAGCAACTGTGCTGGAGTACATCTACAGTGGACAGAAAAGGGGTGGACACGCAGGTCAGTGAGCAGCATTCGTCACCTAGGAGTCAGACACAGGACAAACCCGTAGATACCCAACACCTGCTCCCTCAGGAGGATATACACATGGTTCACATACATGACTGGTGTTTGTGGGGTGTTGGCTTTGCCATCAAAACAATTATTTTATTATTTTTTAAAATTTTTTGAGACAAGGTCTCGCTATGTAGTTTAGGCTGGCTTTGAACTCATAGCGATCCCCTTGCCTCAGCCTCCTGAGGGCTGGGATTATAGGCATGCACCACCATGCCTGGCTTATTCTTCACTCTTGACACCAAATTGTTATTCTGCAGAAAAACAAAGCTCCGAATAAATGCTGACAGCTCTTCTTTTGATAGGGTTTTTCTTGCTATTTTTGGTAAACAAGTAATTAACTTTTTGACCATTTCTCCATCACCTGAAACCAGAAGTGACACAGAGGCTGAAATAACAGTGATTACTGCCTGGAGCAAAGGAATACTGCCACATAGAGGATTTGAATAACTGCTTCGATTTTTTTGGTACCGGAGATCGAACTTGGGACCCTGCGTCTGCGAGGCAGGCGGCAGAACCACTGAGTTAAATCCCAGGCCCTAACCGCTTCAATTTAAAAGGACAAAAACAAGCAAACAAAAACCCCATCTGTGCAGGCTAGATCTGAGTGAAGGTGGAGATTTCCTTAAAGGAAACCATGTACATCTCCTTCCGTCAATTTGGAAATTACTTCAGTGAGCCAAAGGAGATTCTACTTCATATGCAAATAAAATGTCTGACTTACCGTATATTCTATTTTAATTCATTTCAACTTATGTTAAATAACAAAATATATGCACTATTAATTTTTTTCTTGCTCATGGCCTATCTTAAGGTACACACTATTTCCTGTGTAACCCTTTAAAGAGACTAGAGGGATGGGGAAGGAGGGCAGGGAGGGGAATATAAAAAGAATTCAGATGCACCATGTCCCTGTGGGAACTCCCCAGGATGAATGTAGTCATTGTGTACTGTAAACATGGACTGATACAGATGAAGAAACAGGGACTATAGAAGATGCAGTAAGAACTAATATTGTTTTTATTATTATTCTTATTATTTTTTGGTACTGGGGATTGAACTCAGGACCTTGGGCTTGCAAGACAGGTGGCAGAACCACTCAATCCCCGGCCCTATTATCACTTTTTGTTTTTATTTTTATTTTTTGAGACAGGGCCTCGCTGTGTAGTCGAGACTGACCTGGAACTCACTGTGTAGCCCAGGCTGGTCTCGAACTCAGTGATCCTCCTGCCTCAGCCTCCCGAGTGCTGGGATCACAGGTGTGCACCATCATGCCTGGCCTCTTTTACTGTATATTTGAACATCAGAAAAAGTAAGATAGACAAACCTTTCTGATATATAAAAGTCTGTTCATATTAATTCAAATATATACACAGGAAGATGCAATAAGATCATGCAACTCTTTTGCCCCTTTGGAGATACGTATTACAAAGCAACATCCTCAGCTTCACCATACTTCTGATTATAACGTTTTATCAAAGACCAATTAGGTAACAGGCACAGTGTTAGGTGCTCCAATCATTAGTATCTCTTACAATCACATAAGGTAATAATTACCTTTCTGATGTTACACAGGAGGAAACTGAAGCCTACCAAGGTGGCTTTGGTCAAGGACATACACCTTACAAAAGGGTCCAACAGTATTTGAATTCAAATCTGTCGGGCTTCACTGGCCTATGCTATCTCAATGGTGTCAGAATGTTTACGATCTGGGATTAAAGTACCAAAGCAAATAAACCGGGCATGGTGGTGCACACCAGTAACCTCAGCACTGGGGAGGCTGAGGCAGGAGGACTGGTATAAACTGGAGGAGAATCTGGGCTACACAGCCACTTCGAGGCTAGCCTAAACTATAGAGAAGACCCTGTCTCGAAAGTGAAACAAAACAAAATAACAAAGCAAGTAAAAGCTAGAGAAACAATGCTGACTGATACGATCAACTGGAATTAAAACCAGTGTACTTCATAGGAAGCCTAAAACAAATTACTAAATACTCAGGGACCAGTTTTTCTGTTTGTAGGTAAATATATAACTACAGTTCAAAAACAAAACAAAATGACAAACAAACAACCCCTCCCCCCAAAAAAAACCCTGGAAAAAGATTAATCTAGGTAAGAACTAATTGATTAATAAACTCAATGTTTACCCGTGCATAAAAGTTGATAAGAATATATTCTTTAGAATACACACCCAATACTATGGTACAGTTAAAGGACAAATACATACGGCTAGCTCATGTACTAATCAAATATACAAAAAAGGCATGGTCAAACAAATAGCTATAATTTCTTTCTTTTTTTTTTTTGCTGCAGTTTCTGTGGTCTTTTTTCCCGCCTCATCGAGTAGCTATAATTTTTGAGCACCTACTATGTGTTTAAACATTCTTTCATTTAATACCCCCCAAAGTCATAACTTTGCCAATGAGGAAACCAAGATTCAAAGTCACAGCACTGCAAAGTGGCAGAGCTAGGATTTGAATTGAGATCTATCAGTCCCCCAAATCATATTCTTAAGCATTATGCAGTTTAATATTTCTTAATTTCAATATTTAACGAGAATGTGTTTTGTGAAAATCTGTTCTATAAAAAATAATAAAATAATTTATTTCAGATTTTTTTGTTAAATTTGGAGTTTTATCAATAACAACATAATTTTTAAAAATTAGATGGGCTAGGGATTTAGCTTAGTGGTTCTGCCACCTGCCTCACAAGCACAAGGGCCCGAGTTTGATCCTTGGTACAAGAAAAAAAAATTAGAGTATTGGTAGGCAGAATGTTTATATTGCAAAATATTTGAGACAAGAATGGGTAATTTCCTATTTTTAACAATGAGCAAATTATAATCAGAGTTATTACTAAACTCCTAATGAAAAGTTACTGAATATAAAAAGTACTTACCTGTGCCTTTTCAGTACTTGTAGGATGGAGCTGTCGGTCAAATACCTTCTTCACAACATCGAGAAATAGGCAAGTAACAACCATAAGGATTATGGCAAACCAAGCAGAACCACTTGACAGGAGCTGCATAAATATGAAGTACACATTCTGGGAGCTCAAGAATGGCCTGTAGAGAAAGGCAGTGGGCTAAGTAACAGTGAAAACTAAAAAGACTTAAGTCAAGATATCATGGAAACTTACTATAATTGAAAGTAACAATTTTGAGAGCACTCCAGAAAAATGGCATAAACTGAAAATTAGCATAACCTAGTTGGACAGCTAATAAAGCAAGATAGACTTAACTGTTAAACATAAAACCCAATTATTTTTAATAAAAATTAAAGGGTCTGACTAGGTAACCCTATCAAAACAATGCAGTGATACCGATGTGAGACCAAGGAAACAGTATGTCAAGACTGATTATTCAAATCTTAGGCTCTTCTTTAAAACCTGTTTAGAATAAATGCACTCCCAGAGCCCAGGCCGCCTCCACCCATGCCATCGGATGTGCACAGATTGGCTGCCCCGTCACTGCACTGGGCGGAGCCCAGAGGCAGGGAGCTGGGAGCCAGGGGCGCAGCTGTGATCCCACTGCAGAGCTGCCCCTCTGCGAGCTTCCCATCCCTAACCTTTCTCCCCATCTGATTCCTTCTGGTGGCCTATGCCGGGGTAGGCTGCAGTCAACACCTGAGAGGCCGGGGGTCAGGAGTGAGGCCTGGGCTTGGCTCTCCATCTGTCCCTCTCCTCTAATCTGTGCACTCCAGGCCTGGCGGTGGCCCCAGCCTCACCAGATGGCCACTTTACCAACGAAGCAGGCATGGCTGGCAGGTCACAGGGAGCTCCTTAAGTCTGCCTGCGAGGTGTGGGTCTAGGTATCAATACTTGCTGGGCTGGAAAATGCCCCCCAAGAGGGCTCAAGAGGTGCTGCCTTGGGCTAGGAGTTGAGGTCAGTAGAAGAGCACTTGTCTACATCCACGATGCCCTGGGTTCAATCCCTGGCACCCCCTATCTCCCTAAAAGGTGCTGTCCTGTAGAGTGGGATGTGCTGGTGTCCCTGTGGTGCGCAGAGGGCACAGGTGCAGGTGTGGTGGAAACACATGCTCCGCCCAGGCTCTTGGCCCTGTGGGCCGCCCCAACCACAGATCCCAGTGACCTTAGGGCATGCAGTGGTATTATTTAGGGGGTTTCGGTATCTGTCACTTCCAAAGAGTACTGGGAAATAAACAAGTAGAAAAAGGAGGCGGATTATAGACAAACAATATGCATGGGAGCATCTTTTATGATCCTGCATGGAAGCTAATGATTAGCCAGTTTTTTGCCTGATAAATGGATCAAAGGCATAGCAAGCAAATGTAATATAAATTCTCTGAGAGACCTTAGTTGTCTAGCACTTACTAAAGAATCATGGGATAAACATGACCCCCACCCCAGTATTGGGAATTGAATACAGGATTTTCACAATGAACCACATCCTCAGTCCCACTGAAAAAATTTTTTTTTGTACCAGGGATCGAACTCAGGACCTTGCACTTGTCAGGCAGGCAAGGTGTCATGGAGCTAAATCTCTGGCCCTTTGTTTTTTTGAGACAGGGTCTTGCCGTATAGTTCAGGCTGGCCTTAAACTCACTAAAGAGTCTGGGCTGGCTTGAGAATTTGCAGCAATCCTCCTGCTTCAGCCTCCTGAGTGCTGGGATTACAGGTGTGAGCCACCATGCCCAGCAATTCCAACCTTTCTTATTTTTTATTTTGAGATAAGTCTTGCTGAGTGCTAAATTGTACAGGCTGGGTTCGAACTTTTGATCTTCCTGTCTCAGCCTCACACAGTGCTGGGATTATAGCCATGCACCACCACACCCAGCTGAGAAATATGATTTTTGTTTTTAGTACTGGGGATTGAACCTGAGACCTTGCGCTTGCGAAGCAGGTGGCAGAACCACTGAGCTAAGTCCTTTGCCCAAGCATGAATTTTGAAATATCAGAACAGATTAGTACTTGACTTTACTACTGAAGTATACAATAGTATACCTTGAGAGAGATATTAATTCAATAATCAAAATTTAATGGCTATATGGGATATATTTTAGTGCATATATGAATAACTAATTTAGTAGTATGATTATTCTAAAGAACACTGATTATGATTACTTTTTTTTTTCCTTTGTGACCCTGAGGCTCAATTTCCACATAGGGAAAAAACCGTAAGATTATTATTATTATTTTTTGAGACAGGGTATCACTAAGTAGCCCAGGATGGCCTCAAAACTTGTGGCTGATCCTCCTGAGTGCTGGGATTACAGGTGTATACCACCACACCCAACAAGAACAAGATTATGATGAGTCAATTATTGTCTTATATGAAATGTCTAGAATGTAGTAAGTATTCAAGAAATGTTAAATTTTTTTCTCCCTACACATCAGTAAGGTCAATAGAAACAAATGAACTTATTAGGATAGGATCTCAAAATTATTCTGAGCAGAATGTTCATACTATATAATCCAACACAATAACTGTTTACTATAGTTAAATCAATACAATTAAAATACAAACTGGGTGTGGTGGTGCATGCCTATAATCCCAGTACTTGGAAGGCTGAGGCAGGAGGATCCCTGTGAGTTCAAGGCCAGCCCGAGCTACATAGTGGGTTCAAGGCTGGCCTGAACTACATAGTGGGACCCTGTCTCAAACAACAACAACAACAACAGCAGCAGCAGCAGCAACAACAGAAATACATGTAAATTATTACTCACCAGAGAATCCCACTATAAAATAAAGAAAATATAAAATAAAATACAATAGATCCCCAGGTAACAAGATGGTTGATCCAAGTCCAAAAATGAGTTTCCAAAGCCATCTAAAAGAAAAAAATTTAAAATGTCTCAGGAATATGAATAACAAAGCTTTATCCTCTCAGATAAAGCTCAACAATAAAATATTACATAAATCTAGGAATTTAATAAAAAGGCCTTAGTACAGAACTACCATTTCACATTTATAGTATTTTTCTTCTGTGAGGAATTAGCATTGAAACTTCACAGGATGACTGTATTTCAGTTTCATGGCTTAAAACAAATTGTGCTGTTCTGTTCATAGAAAGGTAGAACTTCAGTGATTTTTAATTGACCATAAAAATCAACCAAAGCTTTCCAAAACAGTGAATTTAAAGACTTTTCTGATAAAAATTTAAATGAATTATTAAAATAGTAATGTGAAAGTATTCACTGCTGAAAAAGAAAAGGAAAAATACTTATCTATGGCTGAAGAGATGAAAAGTCAACTACTAGTTATGTACACACAAACTGTCCGCATTTCTAATGTTAGTGCCGTACCTTTGCTGTGACGGTAATAACCATGACTGTGAAGACCAAAGTGCCAAATGTCCAGTTTCCAAACATCTAAACAGAAAGAACAGACTATTACATTATGTGTTAACATGATGTTAAATGAGATAAAGGCAAAGTTATTTCGTTCTCTACTCAAAGTTTATTTTGGGCAATACTGGGGATTGAATTCAGGAGCTCACACATGCTAGGCATGCTAGGCAAGTGCTCTGCTATGGAGCCACACCCCCAGCCCCGAAACTCATTTTTATTATTCAAGCCAGTTACGTATCTGTGACTTGACTGTTAATAAAGTTAAGATTATGAGAGAAGCATTATTGTGCTTATTATTATTATGTACAATATTCCTTTGGATATTATCTTCAGACTTGAAATCCAAAGATACGTTTACAGTTATACGGCACTGAAAGCTTTTAGTTAGAATGTTACAGTCATTAGTGAGTGCTTTATTCCTGTCAACGGTAAAATTGTAACAAGTGTGTAACTGCAATTATTTTCCTTTTCTTTGGTACTGGGGATGGAACTCAGGACCTTGTGCTTGCGAGGCAGGCGGCAACACCACTGAGCTAAATCCATGGCTTGTTAGCAATTATTTTCTGAAAAACTTCCAACCAGAAGTTATAGTAGATCACTTGGCATAGTATTTCTGGACAACATATGCAGAGCAAAAACAAAACAAAACAAAATAAAAAAAAACCAAAAACCAAAAAAACGGAAACTTATTGATTCTCTGAACAGATAAAACTTTATTATATTCTTTTTTTTTTTTTTGGTACTGGGGATTGAACTTGGGACCTTGCGCTTGCAAGGCAGGCAGTGGAACCACTGAGCTAAATCCCCGGCCCAGCTTTATATTCTTTTAATTGCCAATCATATATGTTTATGTCTCCAAACATATTCTGTAAGATACAAGTGTGGCCAATTAAAAAGGAAAACCCAAGGTAACAAGCAGTTCCGGTCCACTGCATGCACTGCTGTCATTCCCTTCCCTCCTCATCTAGCTAAGCCTGGAAAGAGATGCCTGGTTCTGCCCAGAGTCCCTGATACAGTGAGACCACCCACTGTTTAGTATGCTTTCCTAATATCACAGTTAAGAAACATGGTCATACTTAATCAGTAATTTACGATGTCCGTAGAATTGCTAGTGCAGTCAGAGTGCAGTAACACTCCTGAAATAATCAAACAAAACCATCAGCAAACAAACACTAAGTCCTCATTTCTCATCTGAAAAATCAGGGCAATTAAACCCTTCCAAGAGGGTTACTGTGAAGATTAATGGGCATGGGACACATAAAGCTCCTACACAAGAATAAGCACTAAATAAACAGAATCTGTTATTAAAACACTCTGAGATGAACAGCATACAGGGTCAATCATATATTTCCTTGTGCAAACTAATTTTTAAATAGCAAAACTGTCTAATGAGTTTCATTTTAAAATTACATCGTATTACGTTCATGTTTTAATTTTTTTCTTTAAACATATTTTTAATTTTTTCCTCATTGAGTTTATTGGTACATTTTAGGTATACAGTACAGTTACATTCATTATTGGGACTTTGTATCTTCATGTTTTAATTTTCATTTGTTCACAATGAAACTGCATTATTTGAAAAAATTAAAATCTTTTTGTTTTTACCCCTCCCACCCCTTTTTTTTGATACTGGGGATCCAACTCGGGTCCTTGTGCTTGCGAGGCAGGTGGCAGCACCACTGAGCTAAATCCCCGCCCCTGTTTTCACTTTTATGTCTGAATTTTTACGATTTAAGTTGAATTTTACCTTTATTTTCCATGACAGAAAATTATCAAAAAGTAAAACAAATCAAAACATTGACAAGCATTCTGTAAAAACCGAAACATTTACCTGGCCATTTCCAAGCAGAGAGATATCTTTTCCCATCAGAAAGTAAGATCCAAAAAAGAAAATAAAGGCATGACTGAAACCCAGGATAGTCCAATAAAGAAATGTTTTAATGCTTAAAAGACGATTTTTACTAATATCCCTGTAAATTAAAAAAATGATAAAAAGGAACACATTAGGAATCATTCACTTTTTACCTATTAAATAATTATTACACTTTTACTTAAAAAAAAAATGTGGAGTTTGAACTTAAGATGTCCTGAAAATATTAGCAGAAAGAATAAACTCACATTTACACAGTTCTACTTCTAATATCACACACCCATTAACAGCTGTAGTTCACCTCCGGTACATTTCTTATCTGATAAAGAAGTACATGCATAATACTTCAGTTTACTTGTGAAAAGCTGACTTGCAGCCGTTCTGCCACGACAGTCTCTTTGAGAGAGGTTATCCAAGTGGGGCCAGCAATGAGACGCCTGAGTAACTTCACTGCCCACAGTAGCTATTGTGGAGCAATAAGTGCACTAATCTAGGGTCAAGTCCTGTCCTAGGTAACCTAGGACATCTGAGTGAGTTATGCTGTATCTTGACACCTGGCTGCCTCGGTAAGCGGTACCTCTGTACCCTCCCAGAGTACTGTAAACTTGACCTGAACCATTCGCATCTCTGTTTCTTGGTTCTGGAGAAGCAGAGGGAAGCTGGGGACCTGGGATCAAAATCCCCCACTTGCTTTGCACTGAGTATCAATGACACATGTTTGGCAATAGCAGGATATAAGCTTATTTTTTAGAAACTAGAGACTGCTGAATAGTGAGTAAATTCTTTCATGCACGTGAAGTAGATTAAGACTGGTTTGCAACAGTAAATGTAAACCATACAATTGCCCAATGCATTTCTAGGATCAGAGGGTTCCTCCCTAAACCAGCAGAAGCTGAGCATGATGGTGCACGCCTATAATCCCAGCACCTAAAAGGCAAGTGGGGTGCTGCCAATTCAGAGGGCAACCAGGGCTACCTAATGAGTTCAGAGCCAGCTTGAACTATATAGCGAGATCCTGTCTTAAAACTGGAAAAATTACTCGATTCCTTTTTGATATTAAAAAACTTCAAGCCATAAAACCACCACACTTTCCTTAGTAAAGTATCAAGTATTAGTCACCAAGACACTACCTACTCATTTACTCATTTTTCAGGTACTTGTTAAATTTGGTAACTAATGAATATACTTACAATCAGAAATATAAAGTGTGATTAAAAAATATAGTGAATGTTTAAATTTAACACTTTTTTTTGGTATCAGGGATTGAACTAAGGACCTTGGGCTTGCAAGGCAGGCAGTGGCACCACTGAGCTAAATATCTGGTCTGTGAATGTTTAAATTTAAAAGACACACTGACACTTATCCTCTTTAAAACACTTAATGTTGCTTTGAATACACTTATCCCATTGTTCCTGTCACTTTCTGAAGCAGTTCTAAAAGTCTTCTTTCCTGAGGGTCTTTATTATGCTGGCTTGGCTACCTGATGTCCTGAAATGATTCAAAATGTTGAACTTTCATGGTCATTTTGACTTTGGGGAAGAGCCAGAAGTCACACAGTGCCAGATCTAGTGAATAAGGTGGATGAGGACGCACTGTCATGTTTTTATGAGCCTGCTTTCCACTGGATGGCACTCAGCAGAAGCACTCACCAAAAGACAACTTCCAGATATGCTTCAGAAAGATGGGATGAGAATGTTCAAAGCAGAGCCAGGAGTGGTGGAACATATCTGTAATATCCTGGCACTCAGGAGGCTGAGGCAGGAAGATTGTTATGAGTTTGAGTCCAGCCTAGACTATACAAAGTTCAAGGCCAGCCTGAACTATGTAATGAGAACCTGTTTAAAAACAAATGTGTGTTCAAAGTGTGTGTGGGGGTATTTTTGAGGGAGATTACTGGCAATGTGTCTTTCATTGTAATTAAAAAATATATATAAATATTCATTGTATTTTTCAATCACCATTGGTATAGGGACATTTAATCATGAAAAAGACTTACCGATAGAGAGTAGGCTTGCTCTGTAATACATGAGGGTCTATATGCTGTTCCAAAAGACTGTATATCAGAATAGGTAGGGAAGTAAAACAAATATTGTACAAAGTCAGGTACATGCTGTCATACAGTGTCTACAAAGAGAAATTGGTAGGAATTTTAGGATTCAGAATATGTCTATTATCCTTATGCATATAATTAGAGGCATATTAGAAATGAGCACAAAATTATTTTTTTCAGTTTACAGCAAAATCCATTTCAAAATTCCAACTTGTTTTTTAGATAAACTTATAATGTTCCTAGACTTACATTATTTGAGGAAACTGGAATATTTTGTAGTATCAAGTATTTCTTAAAATTATAGTGAACTTGATCTATATTTTGAGATTCTCCAGAATTTTGTCACTGTGATGTAGTGTTACACAATTCTCCTACATGGATCTTTGGCTTCTTACTATTCCTTTGACACGCTACACGTACAGTTTTTTGTTTGTTTGAGATAGGGTCCGGCTGGCCTTGAGCTCTCTATGCAGCCCAGGCTAGCCTCAAACGTGTCTGCGGCCGTCACTCTGCCTCAGCCTCTCAGCGCTAGGACTACAGGTGTGCACCACCATGTCTGGCATGCTACACACAGTTCTGCTTTCATGGCTTGGTCTTCTCGTCTAGATCCCATACTCTGCAAGACTAAATAGGACTCTTCTTCCATGAAATTTCACAATGGCCTAAGCCCTTGATGATAGAGTCCTCTAAAAAGTGCTGCTGTGGGTATTAACTAGCCGGAATTTTACCTCTGCTTCATGTGCTGTTTTTATTATTATCAATACTATTTGCTAAATTATACCATAAACTCTCTGAAAACCTAACAAAGTTCATGGTCTTACAGCATTCTTTATTTTACTCAGATGAAGAGACAGTTACAGGCAATCATTGCCCATCTCTGCAGATACTTGGAATGTAGAGCTACATGTCACAAATAGAGGAGAAAACAGTGCTTAAAAACCTAAGTTCTTGTCTTGTGTTTTCAGTAAGTTAGATCAAAGGGCCAGGGATTTAGCTCAGAGGCACCAAGCCTACCTTGTAAGCACAAGGTCCCAAGTTTGATCCCTGGTGCTGAGACGGGAAAAAAAAATCCATTCTCTTGCTCAATTTGAGGTGTATAATGTAGTGTGTGTGAATAGGATACTCACTCAGAACAAGGGTCCAAGTCATGGTTTAGTCACTAGCTTAGCTATACTGCTTCTGGACAAGCTACTTAATTTCTGTAGATTTAACTTTCTTTTTTTATCAAATAAAATAATAGATCAGAAACGGTGATGTGTAACGTGTACAACCAGAAACCCATCCCGTGCCCATTAGAATGACTGTCAATAAATTATAGGATTTCCCCTCTGAAACTAAAGCTTCAGAAATCTTTTCAACACAGTATTCCAGGTTTTCCTATCATTATTTAAGGTTGGGGGCTGGGGATTTAGCTCAGTGGTTCCGCTGCCTGCCTCATAAGCTCAAGGTCCTGAGTTTGATCCCCAGAACAAAAAAAAAAAATTTTTTTAAGGCTGGCTTCTGGGATAAAACTTAAGATAATCCCTGGACTAAATCACTAAGTCTCCTCCCAAATTAAAAAAAAATGAGTCAAAAATAAAAAGGAAGTAAACCTCTAGTCTAGTAGTTACTTGGTCAGCCTGATAAGGATTCTACAGGGTATTACAAATAATTTGGAAGTTGTCAACGTTCTCCCATATTGTTTTTTTTTTCTTTTGAGTTTTTAATATCAACTTTTAAAAAAGTACCGAGAATTAAAATACATGTTGGTACCTACATTCATTTCAAATTGAAAATTGGAATAAGTATTGTGGATGCTACGCTGATGAAGTGTACTACTTGGAGAAGTTTTATCTGCTTATCTGTAGGACTAAGAAAAATGAAAACAGTCCCACTGAATGTCTATCAAAATCTGAAGATATGTATCTCATTCTAAAAGGACAAAACACAAGCTTCTGTTTACTTACTTGTTGAGAAAACAAACAGTAGAACTGATATAAAAACTGGGGTGTGATAAAGCACACATTCTGTAAAACAAGATTAAGTGGGAAATAATTAAAATACGAATTCTCAAAGAAAAACATTTCTAAAAATAGTTATTAAATATCTGCAAACAAAGTTGGCATGGAAAATAGCGGATCTTTCCATAAGGACTCGCCTAAAGAGAAAGTAGGAGTCTCATTTTATTAAAAATGTCTAAAAGCACTGTCAGGTGGTATCAGAATAAAAATACCCTTACTTCCAATCATTGCCAAGCAATATCACAATTCTGAAAACACAAGTTTCCAACTCTTACTCAAGACTTTCCAAAAAAAGAGAGGACTTCATATATATTCTTCAAAAGTAAGATTAAACTTTAGGTCTATTATACCTTTAAAAGACAAATTATCAAAATATCTTTTTTTTTTTTTGGTTTATTTTTTTGAGACAGAACCTTGCTATGTAGTTCAGGCTGGCCCCAAACTTATCATGCTGCCTAGGCTGGGCTCTAACTCATGGCAGTCCTCCTGCCTCAGCCTCCTGAGTGCTGTGATTACAGGCATATGTTACTACACTGGGCTTCAAAACATTTTTCTACCTCAGTATAGGTAATATTATAAGGAAAAAGCTAGACCAAAAAGTTGGAAGAAAACTGCCACTGCCACATCATTCAACAATTACATGCAATCTTATGTTCTTCCTCTGGTTTATAACCATCAATGATAGGAACACATGTAATACAGGACCTTCTTGTATGTTAAATGTCTTGGCAACAGGGGTTCTTAACATGGGTTTCACAGACCTTTTCCAAAAGGTCCACAGATACCATTGTATTATCAGCACCATTAATCTCTCTGAAATCCTAAGTATTTTATTTTATGCACATAAAAACCATACACTGAAAAGCTCACACCATTTCAGTAGTCTACTAACAGGTACAAAAAAAGGTGAATAATTTCTGCTTGAAACCATCATGCTGGAGTTAAATGAAAACTTATTACTGGCTCAAAACAAAAAGTAATTATTATGGTCTAATTTGCATAGAATAAGACACTAAATTTAAGTAGGAAACTTGATGTGTTGTATAAATTCATATACCATCATCATTATGTAAAATGAGAGAGCTTTTCCATCAGCCCTGGAAGTTCTCTTATATCTCTTCTCAGTCAATTCTAGCACCTGTACCCTTGGCACCAGACCCCTGGTTCTGATCTGACAGTATCAACTAGATTTACTACAAAAGTATTATTAGTTTTTTTTCTTTTTTTTGCTTACAGAAACAATTTTTAAGAATAATTGTATGGTTGGTTATAGCATTCCTTAAATTGAAACTAAAAATTATTGTAACAGTGATTAAATAAAAAGCCATATGAAACTTACCTTATAAAAAAAATACTGTACAAGGGTAGCTATTCTGATATAATAAAAATGACCATGAACAAAAAGTAGTTTGGAGAGGAATTTAAATCTAGCTATTGCATAGTCACTGTTTCTTGCAGCCTGTCTTCCTTCTTTACCCATGATTCCTGTAATAAAGGAGAGAAAAAAGTATGTTTGCTGATAATACATAAGTATAATTTTCACGATATCTCTGTAACTATCATATAGTATTTGAACCTGGGCTTAGGAACACTACATACTATTAGAATGGTGGTGAACCTTTCAGAGCTTTCAGTAATAAACAGGCTACTGCGGCACACATGCCTTTGGTTTGCCATCACTGCCCTATTATGTAGCACCTAGCAGCTATCTAAAAGGTTATTTTATTTAAACATGTAATTAATATAAAGCTACAATATATACCAAATATGCAATACCTACGGAGTCCACCAAAAAAATGTACACACACTCCAGGAAAAAAAAAAATAGTATGTTTTTTCAACAGATATGTTACCCTCGTGTGAGAGGACCCTAAAGGATGTTGTATATTGCAAAAAACCCACTACATTGCCAACCATTAGAGAAGAAAATGAAAATGCATGTGCAAAAATCTCAATCACCAAGGTTATCCAAATAGCAGTTCACTGTACTAATAAATGTCTAAAGCTCACGCCACCACTGTGAGCACCTCTTGTAATTGTAGAGGCCAAAAGTAACTTGCATTAATCTCATGATATCTCAATAAATTTAGTATTAAAATGTTTATACAAGTTTTTATTTTCCTGAAGTGTGCACGCATTTTTTGGAGGGAATCTGTATTTTCACAGAGAAGATTAAAAATAAAAAAATACAATTACTATAAAAAGTATCAGGCAATAAAATTTTGATAGAATTCTATAATAGCTTTAACTTCACTAGTTCCAAAAAATGTAAAATATATTCAAACTGAATAAAAACAAGCAAATTTAACTGTCTAAAAATTGGTATGCAAAAAAACTCATGCAAAAAACCCCTATCATGCAGAAAGTATGCTTTTAAAAAATGTAATTTTGAAGTAAATAAATTAAAAAATTATATAAACAAATCAGTGAATCATTTTAGCTAGAAAATATTTTTTTTTTTTGGTACTGGGGATTGAACTCTGGTCCTTGCGCTTGTGAAGTAGTCACCGGAACCACTGAGCTAAATCCCTAGTCCCTAGAAAATAGTTTTTAATGTTACAATTATCCTTTAGATTCCAAAAGGTCAAAAGTGTAATTGCAAAGTTTGAAAGTAACTTTTAAAGAAATTAAAAAAGTTTTGAAAATAATTTTTCAGAATTAAACTTTTTAGATTTTTGTCATGAAAGGATCAAAATGTTCTAAAATATATAGGCAAAAAATTTATGCATTTTCATTCATAACACCTAGAGAAAACCACTGTATTTAGTCTATATCTTTTTAGAACCTTTCTGTCTGTATTTTGCATATGTATATGTGTATTTGATATATGTGAAATGTATATGACGTTTATAACCTGTATTTGTTACTTACTGGACACTGTTTATAATATATATCTTTATGAATATGTTTAGTTATTTTCTTAGAAGAAAATACATAATTGGGCACATGACTGCAAGGTCATTAGGCACACAGTTAAAATTGGTTATGCACAACAATGCTAAGTATCCCAATTTACTCTCCTAGTGACGTGATATAAAATTATTTGTTAAACTGCATCTTTGCCTACTCCAGGTTATCAAGTTTTGCAATTGTTACCAGTCTGACAGATAATTTTAACTTGCACTCTTCTGATTGCTAAGAGACTGAAGATTTTTTCTGTAAACTTAGTATTCATTTTGGAGTTCTCATTTTGTGACAACTGATGGCTCATACCCTTTTGCCTATTTCTACTGGAATGCTAATTTGCCAAGACTTTAAAACTTAGTAATATTAAGACTTAACCATCCATTTTTGCAAGCATTCTTCATTACTTTATCTTCAAATTTTATATTTATTTATTTTTTTTGGTACCAGGGATTGAACTTGGGACTTTGCGCTTGTGAAGGAGGTGGTGGAACCACTGAGCTAAATTCCTGGTCCTTCAAATTTTATTTTTAGCTCTGCCACATACACTGATCTGTTCCTCCTTGCTTTAGTATTATGTTTAAAAGATCTTTCCACAAATCAAATAACAAGATTATCATTAAATCTTTTAAAATTACCTTTTATAGTCTTTTAAAATTATTTACATCCTTACTCCTTCTAAAATTTATTTTGCTATAAGTAAATGGGATCCAGCTTCTTTTTTTCCAAATAACTAACTAGTTTTAGGAATTTTTTTACTGAGTAATATGTTTTCTTATTTGAAATTCTATAAATGTATTATTTTATGACTTAATGTATGTATGGGAAATTATCAAACTTATGGTGATTTATGGGGAATAAAATAGTACATAAACTGGAAAGAAAACTAAATTTTAAAATTCAGGAAAAAAATCAATCACCTATGCCAACATGTGCTTCTTGTATCATGCTTACATCATTAGCACCATCACCAACAGCCAATGTTATAGGGTTCTCAGGTGAGATTTTTATCAGTCTTATTACCTGAAAGACATACAATGAAACAGTTCTTTATGATACGAATTCAATTTCCTTAAATTTGTTTAATGTCATTTATCTGAAATGACTACAGAAGGAACAGTAATGAAAAAATATTTAATCATATATTAGACAGTAATATGCAGTGAGTTTTTTGAGGGATGCCTTCATTACAATTTAGGAATGTTATTATGTTTGAACTTTTTGACAAGAAAAAAATTTAAATACATCTTAATTTTCAAAAAATCATGGAAAAACTGCACGTAATTGAATTCTTTCAGGTAAAACTTTCTTTTCTCAAGAAACTACTTTTTATTTGATATAGAAGAAAGACAATTGTTTTCTCTTACAATGAACATAATCTGAAGTTTTAAAGAAGCAACCAATATTAAATCAACAGATTTCTGTGGAATTTTTGAATGTACTTTTGTTAAGTTTTGTCTGGCCTCGAGTTTCAGTCTTCACAGACTAGGATACAATTATAAAAAAGGCACAGTAACAAAATTCCATGAAACCAAAATGGCTGGATTTTGAATTTATTAGATGTATATGCAAAATAATCAGTAGTATTTAGATGTTCATTGCAAAGGATATTTGTAAAGGATACATTCTAAGACCTCAAATTACACATGTGAAATTACAAAATATAAGTGTCTATATACTTTCACTTCGGAAGCTGAAATTTAAGTATTTCTTGTATACAATTTTACAAATTAACTAGCTTTCAACTTTCTACCAAAGTCCTAATTTATCACTCAAGAGCAACTTTTAATAAAGAATTACCAATTCAAGAGAATGTATGAATAAGCAGAGATCAACAGAACCACCCTAAGATGCAGATTCAAGTTTTCTAGAGTCCTTCACTTGTTAAGTAACTAATTTGGGTAATGTTAGTTACTACAGTTCAAATTTGTGTTTCAGCAAGACCACAACTGCTACACAATACAGATTTTCCAGGTCATTATGAATATTTGAAGCTTGAGTATTTACTCTGAGAATGTACAGGGCTAAGATTCATAGTACAAGTGTCTGATTCCGAGTGTGAGAGTCATACTTTGCCTACCACCAAATGAAACTATGTGAAGGCACTGATCTTAGAGAATACTTTTAGATCTAAATACCTTTATGGAGCTTTTAACAATATTTACATACTTTTGCTTTCTGCAGTGGTGCCATACGACAGCATAACACAGCTGAACAATTTCTGCAAACTTCCATAAACAGCTTTTCATGCTCCCTGAGTGCAAGAGATAGGCTGGTCCCATCCACTACCAGACCATGCTGAATCACATGATCTTCTGTAATTCTAAAAGAAGATAATTATAATATCTGTAAGACATTCTGAAGTCATATTATTTATACTCAGAATAAAAGATTTTTACTGAAAGATAGTTCAACCACAGATTTTACTATTATAAAATAGTAACACCAAGAAACAAACTCAGTTGTATTACCGGAAGATTAAGATTTAGAAGAACCGAGTTACTGATGTGATGAAAATAGATGATATTCAGTTTTACAGTGAACTGATACATAGTAACTATATAT